GTGGCCTCTGTACCAAACTCCGTGGAAAACTGCAGCTGCGTCGGGCTCACGGCCTCCATCGAGTAGGCCTGTACAGCGGGTGCGCATGGGCAAAGCAGAAACTGTAACTGTAAGGGCGCTTAGGCATCCCGTCGCAAACCCCTGGAACCTTCTGAGGAAATTGCATCACTCTGCCACTGTATGGTACTGTAATGACGGTGGTGATTGCGATGAGGGTGATTGTGATGATGACGACGAGGGTGATAAGGATGAGGGTGATGATGCAGAGAGCGTTGATATGGGAAACGAGGGCGCTGACGACATTTGACAGTTGGCATCGAACACCAGGATGCATCCCTTGCGCCCTTGCATGTGCTCACAGGCCTTGAGGCTCTGCGCACCATGGAGCACGATTTCCTGGAGCGTTGCCTCGACAGCCGCCACTGGGCTCTTGCTTTGATTCAAGGCGACACATGTGCTAGCAGTGCTGGCTGGTTGCTGTGACTCCCAAACGGAGCCCAGTGGCTGCTTGATCGGCCACGAAACCCTGCCTGATCAAAGCCGGTCCAACAGTGACGCGGAAAGTGTGGCACCCAACCCACCCTTCCAGACACTAGACTGCACATCGTGAAGCGAGCCACTCCATGTGAGGAAGCCCACGCAGGTCCAGGTACATGCTTTGCGCGCCTGCAAAGCATCGGGACGTGGTCGGAAAGATGCAAAGCATATTGCATACATGCACCTCGACCGTCATGCGGTCTTGGCAAAACAATCGAAAGTGGTTCATCCGTGTTGTCTCTTGTCAGATAAGGAGCCCACCCCTGAAACCCAAAAATCATAAAAATCATAAACAAACCTCAGGCCCCTGAACCCTCACGCCGCCCAGTGTGGCGGCCAAGGCAAAACAAACCCTCTGCCCTTGGGCAGATCCAGTGCAAAAATCGTCACAGGGAATTCAAGTTTGAACAGAAGCTCATCATCGATGCGGTGCGAATGTCTGGAAATCCGGCCGAGTCAGGACGGTCCTTGCAGTGCCCAGTGTGAGAGTTGGTGTATGACATCCGGTGGCAGCACCTTGCACCACAATGAGGAAACTAGCAAAAGCAGCGAAGGTCTGAAACCTGCCTCTGTGTTTACCCAGCTTGCCCATTCCAGCAGTGGGCTTTGGGTCCAGTCCTGCTCGGCGATATACAGAGATCCACACTCTTGAAATCTCTTGATTTTGTCGGACAGTCTACTTCTGGCCTAAACAAGAACTTCAGCATTGAGCAAGCGAAAGGACGGAAGAAAGCTGCGCTGAAGAACTGCTTTCTCCACCGAGGCTCCACTATCCCAGAAGAACCAGGCTTCTCCGAGTCTTTTCCACGGTCCTTTGCCGAAGCGCGCTCTGCCTTTCTCAGATGCCTTCTCTTGCAGCAAAGAGACCGGCAGTTCCGGCTCGGGCTCGGGGCCGCTGTCAGAGCTGTTGCCCTCCTGGCGCTCGGAGGCGGATAGCAGCGGAGGGGAACAGCTCCCTGTTTCTGTGGCTTTTGTGGCCGAGGTTTAGGGCCAGGCCTCCTGCAAGCGGCGCCCGCGTCCGTGTCTCTCGGAGGGAGGGAGAATCAACCTTTGCTGCGTTGCCTCAAAGGCCTCAAGCTTTAAGAGCCCCCCCTTTTAAGGCAGGGTGCTCGTTCAGCACTTGAAGCTGCCGGGTCAGCTGGGGCGCCACCTCCTCATGCATCCCGCCACAGACCTTTGCTAGATCCGCAAATATCGCACCTACATCTGGTCCTTCCAAACCCCAAGTGCAACCCGTTGTAACCTTCCAAAATCTCTTCGTCTGAGCTTGCAGAGGCCTTCTGAGAGGCCTTGTTTTACAAAGGTCGCAGCAACGAGATACCAGGATGCAACTGTGACTCCAGCACATCCGAATTAACTATGCTTTCGATCGTATGGCTGTGAGCTGCACCTGGGTGATCCTTGAATTGAGGATAATCACATGAACGAATCGGACGGCTGCAAAATGCCAGCCCTCGAGTGCTAGCAGAATGCCGCTATGCTGGCTACCATCGAGACTCTTAGTCTTTCCCAAAGAGTCATGGACTTGATTCAACTTCCGCAGGCAGCAAGAAGCCAGCGTGTGTCTTTGGGCACGAACACTCCAAGTATGTCCACAAACTGTCCTTGCTGCAACTAAGCTGCTTTCGATTGGATTTGACCCTTCATGAGCCTTGGCATCTTGACTGTGGGAAAACGATCAGCATGAGTGGCCGCGCGATCTGCAAAGAGCCAAGCTTTCTTCTCAGGCGAGGTGCTCGCTCAAGGTGCCCTGGAAGGCCTTCGCCAGCATGTTGATGGCCCTGACTGTCAGGCCCCCTTTCAAGTCGATATGGAGGTTCAAATCCTGCAAGTTCTGGAAGGCCAGAGGCAGACATGAGCTGGGGGGGAACCTTTAAGTCTGGAGAGCTCCTTGCTGTGAGGATGGCTTATATGCATGCGGAATGTCAAGTAAAACTGCAGACGAATGCACCCCAAAGTCTTCTAGGTAAGTTGGTCAGATTATGTGAGTACAATTTACAGGCGCTTCTTGTCTTTTTTCTACGAGCTTGCAGCACACAAGACGCGACCGCAACCCAACAAAGTCTTCTCCTCTCAGAGTAATTTGTGCGTAGCATGAAACCGGAAACATGCCCCTCAGGGCGTGTAGGGTTGGCACAAAAACTGTCGAGCCCTTCGAAGAACCACTTCTGCGATACTGTGATGCGACAAAGCTGCTGCTGGCAAGGCAGGCTAACACCATGTGCAGCCATGCCATAGATGTCAAGAGTGTGACGGAAGATCATCTTTCTGTCCATTGGAAATTATGTCTTTTCTAAGAGAATCGCAACCTGCCAGCCAACCGACCGACACCAAGCATCTTTGCCACAGTGTGCACTTATGTCTGCAACTTGCACAGCACGGCAAATGTTCTCAACTCGTCACAAGAGTCGATGAAACTTGCAAAAGCACGGGTCACAACACCCCTTCCCCTAAACGTAAGTGATCCTACCTTGTCAAAGATCCTCACACTCTCTCTGTCTGCGAACTGCTAAGCAATATCGCTCATGTCCATAGGTTGCAGCTCTTCTGCAATCTCAGATGTCGACTCTCGGTCCACAGAACGGTGCAGCCGAGACTCTGCATAGCAGTAATCCGTTTCGACGAAGTCGAATCTGTTCTGACTGTTGATGCCGTACAGGTAGAATTGAACCGTAGCTTTGTTGGTCTTGCTGGTATCTATTGTGGCAGTAATGGTTCCATCTCCTTCACAGGTTTCAGGAGTCTGCAATTTCTGAGCACTATAGTACGTCAGCTAGTTTACGGATTGCTGTATTGTGAACACCATCATTGACACAACAGTGATTGCAGGCGGCTCCTAAGACCAGCCAGCTCAGCGCCCTTAACCAGATGAAAGGTCAAGATAGTGAGACATGGCGATTGCAAGAAGAAGCAGGGACCAGCAGACTGCCTCCGACTCCACGACACCACAGAGCAGCCAAGGCACCCTGTGGTTTTCCACTTCCCTTTGCAGGTCAAGCCCACGCCAGAGAACTCAATGCGCAATCCGGCGCCCTGGCTGGGGTGGAGCACATGAGGCTAACGAATGAGGGACATGCTCTGCTACGCCTCCCAGCAAAGGTCATGCCAAAACAACAACTTGGCAACATGCGCTTCCGGCATCTTTCAGGTGGCCTGTCCCTGTCTTGTCTCACAACTCGACGCCTTTAGCTTCACGAGAGTTCTCCATGCAGACTTCAATGCCCGTACAGCAGTAATGTGGACTGAGAGCTCACACAAGCCCAAAAAAAAGAGAACGTCGCGAGCCTGGCTCTTCTTGCGTGTATCGATCTTCTCGAAGGTTCTGGCCGCAAGCACGACATGGTCTTCTCAGAGCATTGCAGCATGGAGCAAAGTCGAAAGATTGGGTTCCAAATATGAGAGGTCAAAGGCAAAATGGCGGAATGGTGAATCACGGCACTTCGGGAACTAATCAATCCTTAAGCGTGGGAAACGGCCACAGATGTTCGCCAGGAACCAGTACATTTAGTGGGACATAGTTTTCATTCCAAGCCGCATGTCGTAGCACCAGACGTCATGAAACTGGAAGGACACCACCCCCCCGCCCACATTGGCATGTGTTTCCTGGGCCGACAGACAGGCTGGCCAACAACAATCTGAACGGACGACGCAATATTGCAAAAGGATCTCGAAGCGTCGCAACAGCAGACATCAGGAAGGAGCCATTTGTTGCTGTCGGAGATTCGTTGGACTCCACTCGGAACCTGCTGCTCTGAAGGAACCCAAGACGTCCCAAATGTGTGAAAGAAAGCATTCTGATCAGCTTTAGCCACGGAGCTTTAGGGAACCCATCCAGGTCCTCAGATAGACTCAGCGTGTCAACTGCGAAGGGAAAAGATGGCTTGCCCATCTTTGAGACCTGGTCCTCACCCACTACTTGTCAACTGTTGCTGTCCCGGTGTCTTCAGAGGATCGCCATTTCCCCCTGCAAGCTCTACCTTGGCTTCATGCGGCAGAAGAGCTAGATCTTTGTTTGGACTACGGAGCGGGGCATCCTTCAGCGTTGCCTCTGCTCCTGCCTGCTGAGCTGCAGTATGCTGCGGCAGCAAGACCTCCTTCCAAGCCAGCGCCCTTGGATGAGCTGGGGATTGGGATCTTGCAAAAGTCCCCTTTCAGCCGAAGAGGGACCTTCGAAAAGCGTTCAGGCGCAAGCGTCGGGAGGTAGCTCCAGAGAAACCAGGCAAGCTTTGGCATTGCCCGGCGAGGCGATGGAGGCGATGTGTTTATTTTTAAGACTTCAAGGAAATCCCTTGATGTTCGGTACGATTTGGTTCTTTCTTGCCACCACCCTTTAAGTCGTTACTGCAACGGTGAGATTACTGACTTCGCGCCTTGCAGCAGAGCCTGCTAATTAGATTGCAGCAGCCCTTGCCGCAGATTTTCAAGAACATGCGAAACTGCCGGCTGCTTCCAGACATGATAGCCTCTTCGGTTCTGGCGCGTAGACGCCATGCATCCAACTGGCACAATCACGAAGGAAACCAACACGCTGTTGAAGGTCGGCACGACAGCTTGCTGTGTTCAATGCAAGATGACAATGATGTAACTGCCTAGTGTGCAGAGCCCGCCTGGGAGACGCGTTGCCCGGGAAAGTGAAGTGCTTCCGAATGAAAGGCAGCGGCGAAAATGTGACGTATGCATCATTAGCACCCGAACCCATAATTTTCTGGCCAACAGGACTTTGTGATACATGGTCTGGACCCATGCCCATATATGCCGCAACTGTTTTGTTAAGGATGTTCACGGAAGTTGCCGGAAGTCTAAGCCAAGAGGTAGTCTCAAGTTCCAGCCGATTTCTTCGCCGCCATCTCCGTCTCCATGGCGTTCGACCGGCCTGCAGGCAGGACAGGCTCCGGGTCTTCAGGATGACTGCAGTTGGCTGCAGGCACGTGCCAACGCTTTTGGAAGGGCGCATCGGGGCGC